CGTCGTCGACCAGTACGCCCACAGCCCTCACACCCAACCCCATGAAGCCATACGTGCCCACGCCTATGATGATGAGCGACACCACTGACGGAACGGCACTACAACTGTCTTTCATGGCGTCGCACAACGGCTTTGTGGCCATGAAGTCGACTACTTTACCACAACTGCCATTACCCCCATCGTTACTTCCAGCGTCGGCTACGAGCGCCCAATTAATGAACAAAAACCTACAGCGCCTACCTATGCCTCCCCAGTGCGGTACAAACATATCGGCGCTGCCGTTGCCGTCGACATCACCCGTCGTAGACATGGAAGAGGATGACATGCTTCGGGAGAGTCCACACCAGGCGTGCAAACGGCCCAAGATTTTGGGCAAAAAATCGTTACCTCAACGACAGCCACAACTTAACCCTCGATGTGTCGATGTTTTCAATATAATCAGTCAAATAGGAGAGGGAACGTACGGTCAGGTCTATAAAGCCAAGGATACCGATGATACGTACGTTTCGTTTTATTGTCGATTTGATTGATTTAAAATTTATGATAATTTGTGGCAATTTTCTTAACCACAGAATCGTTGCTCTAAAGAAAGTGCGATTAGAGAATGAAAAGGAAGGCTTTCCTATTACTGCTGTAAGTGTTTTGTTTTGTTTTATGTGTATTGCAATCAAAAACTCAATTGTGTTTTGAATGAAAAGGTGAGAGAAATAAAGATTTTGCGTCAACTGAATCACCCGAATATCGTTAATCTCAAAGAGATAGTGACCGACAAAGAAGACGCGCTAGACTTCAGACGCGACAAAGGTTTGTATCATTGAATCGATGACTTATTCTCTGACACTAATCACTCCATTATTGCCATTTCCTCTACGTTTAGGTGCCTTTTATTTAGTGTTTGAATACATGGATCACGACTTAATGGGACTCTTAGAGAGTGGTTTGGTTGAGTTCAATGAGTCCAACATCGGACACACTATGCGTCAGCTGTTGGATGGACTCAATTATTGCCATAAAAACAATTTCCTTCACCGAGACATCAAGTGTTCCAACATTTTAATGAACAATAAGTGAGACGTTTAGCCGTTGGGACAAACCGTTGGACACAAGTATCTAATGACATGTGTATTGAATTAGGGGTCAAATAAAACTGGCGGACTTTGGTTTGGCGCGACTGTTCAGCGCCGAGGATAAGATGAGGCCATACACTAACAAAGTGATCACTCTTTGGTACAGACCTCCGGAGCTGCTCTTAGGCGAAGAACGCTACGGACCGGCCATTGATGTGTGGAGTTGTGGGTAAGACATCGGCACTGAATGGCTCTTTAGTTGAACCCAATGTTGACTCTTTTGTTTGGTTTTATAGTTGTATTTTAGGCGAACTGTTCAAAGGGAAGCCTATATTTCAGGCCAACTCTGAACCCATGCAATTGGAGGCAATCGCCAAATACTGTGGGGCGCCCTCACCGGCCAACTGGCCTCTAGTGATCCATTTCGTCGTCGACCAGTACGCCCACAGCCCTCACACCCAACCCCATGAAGCCATACGTGCCCACGCCTATGATGATGAGCGACACCACTGACGGAACGGCACTACAACTGTCTTTCATGGCGTCGCACAATGGCTTTGTGGCCATGAAGTCGACTACTTTACCACAACTGCCATTACCCCCATCGTTACTTCCAGCGTCGGCTACGAGCGCCCAATTAATGAACAAAAACCTACAGCGCCTACCTATGCCTCCGCAGTGCGGTACTAACATATCGGCGCTGCCGTTGCCGTCGACATCACCCGTCGTAGACATGGAAGAGGATGACATGCATCGGGAGAGTCCACTCCAGGCGTGCAAACGGCCCAAGATTTTGGGCAAAAAATCGTTACCTCAACGACAGCCACAACTTAACCCTCGATGTGTCGATGTATTGAATATAATCAGTCAAATAGGAGAGGGAACGTACGGTCAGGTCTATAAAGCCAGGGATACCGATGATACGTACGTTTCGTTTTATTGTCGATTTGATTGATTTAAAATTTATGATAATTTGTGGCAATTCTCTTAACCACAGAATCGTTGCCCTAAAGAAAGTGCGATTAGAGAATGAAAAGGAAGGCTTTCCTATTACTGCTGTAAGTGTTTTGATTTGTTTCATTTGTATTGCAATCAAAAAGTCAATTGTGTTTTGAACGAAAAGGTGAGAGAAATAAAGATTTTGCGTCAACTGAATCACCCGAATATCGTTAATCTCAAAGAGATAGTGACCGACAAAGAAGACGCGCTAGACTTCAGACGCGACAAAGGTTTGTATCATTGAATCGATGACTTATTCTCTGAAACTAATCACTCCATTATTGCCATTTCCTCTACGTTTAGGTGCCTTTTATTTAGTGTTTGAATACTTGGATCACGACTTAATGGGACTCTTAGAGAGTGGTTTGGTTGAGTTCAATGAGTCCAACATCGGACACATTATGCGTCAGCTGTTGGATGGACTCAATTATTGCCATAAAAACAATTTCCTTCACCGAGACATCAAGTGTTCCAACATTTTAATGAACAATAAGTGAGACGTTTAGCCGTTGGGACGAACAGTTGGACACAAGTATCTAATGACATGTGTATTGAATTAGGGGTCAAATAAAACTGGCCGACTTTGGTTTGGCGCGACTGTTCAGCGCCGAGGATAAGATGAGGCCATACACCAACAAAGTGATCACTCTTTGGTACAGACCTCCGGAGCTGCTCTTAGGCGAAGAGCGCTACGGACCGGCCATTGATGTGTGGAGTTGTGGGTAAGACATCGGCATTGAATGGCTCTTTAGTTGAACCCAATGTTTGACTCTTTTGTTTGGTTTTATAGCACATAAAATCCGCTTGACAAGTTTCCCTTCGGATATAAAGTCCGGTTGAGACTTGGGTACGTTAACCTCCGTTAGCGGTTTATGACACCCCGCGGGAGTGGCCGGTTGACCGGAGATCACTAGGTAATGCCGCACTGGACGTCAATGAAACTTAAGAAACCCTACAACAGAGTATTGCGCGACAACTTTGCTTTGTATGCATTCAATATTAATCAACCTTTTGATGACCACAACTAATGTCTCAATTGTCTGACAGTATGCCGAAGTCAGCGCTGGATCTGTTGGACGCTATGCTCTGTTTAGACCCTCTTAAGAGAATTACCGCCGAACAGGCGCTCAACTGTGATTGGCTTAAGAATATTAATAATATGACGCCTCCTATGTATGTCTCACTTCCTGACCTATGTTTTAATGTCATAAACTTAACTCCATTTCCATTCGCACCCGTAGTCTGCCTCAGGACCAGGACTGTCACGAGATGTGGTCCAAACAACGGCGCCGTAAACTCCAGCAACAGAACTCCCAGCAATCAAATGGTATTCATAACTAAACGACACCTTCTTTTCAGATGACATGACTGTACAGTAGTGTATAATTTCGTTTTATTACTAATTAATTATTTTTTGTAAATATTATGCAAATAAATATTAAAAAGTTGACAATTAATTATCGACATCTACAGCTCCTATATACACAGTAAGTGCAGTGTTATTTAGGTTTAGTGGGCGAGCCCTCCAGTTCCAGAGACAACTCGTAACTGCAAATTCAATGTCAACACCAGAGTTAATATTAATACCAGTTTTCTATTATAATATTTAATTTGATTTCATTTGCGATTCCAATAATTTGACTAAAACCCATATATATTGACACTTTCCGTCGTTTGCATTCAATTCTCTTGATTACTATTAATTCAATATTTATTTGCAAAATACAAACATTTATAACACAATTATATGAAATAAATTGTAATAAATATGTGACTAAATGAATGTGAGAAATGGGTTGTAATTATGAATAAAATAAAGATTAAATGCTGTCCATTATAATGATCCATAGAAATTGTGGCCCGCAATGGGCTGGTAGGGTAGGTGTATAATGAACACCATAGCATACTAAACAAACTACAGGTACATTTGTAACCTTAGTTTGAAAATCGAGTTTTTCTATTACATAACACCTATCCCTACAATTTCTGTATATGACAATTTCTATGAGCAAGCAAGTCATCTTAAATGATATCTATATTAGTATTTTAGTATTATTTCTCACATGTTTATGTCACATATTTATTACAATTTCATACGTTTATAATTGAGTATTAAATGTCTGTATTTTGCAAATAAATATTCACTTCATTGGAAGTAAATTGTTTGCAAATAACTACTAGAATTAACATCTCTTGTGAATATAACTCATAATTCATAGAAACACTTGAATTCGTAAATTGAGTCAACACTTAAGCATTTTAGTCAAACATTAATTGAAACTATTGTGTCTAATGTATGAATGCATTCAATGATGACTTACCAGTGCTTATCAGTGATTAATTCAATGTCATTGGATTGAAACCAAATCCTGAAAATTCGTGCCACACGTGGAACGGTTGGCGTGAAGGGGGTGTTCTTAAGGGGTAAATAACTTCTACCCAATTGTTGTGTTTGCTGTTGAATGGCGGTCAGGGCGGCGAACACATTCTTCTGGAGCAATTGGATCTGCATTAGGATCTCGTATTGTTGGCCACACTTCTCGAAGTTTATTAGTTTTACATCCGTTTGCGACTAAAAGTGTCATCAAAATAGACAATCGCTTAGAAAGCCGTCAATTATAGCCTATAACAGTGCAAATACCTGGATATAGCTGGGATACCGTGTATTAATCATTGTAATGTCTGTCAAAAATGTTCCCAAATATGGTATCGTTCCGAACGACTCGTCCTCTAAGCTATAATTTAAGCCATAAATTGATGTTATTTTGAGTTGTGTTGACAATCGTGCGAATGATATGATTGTTAAGTGTGTTTCAGACCTGACTTTAGACGTGCCTTCAATTATGAGTTGCGTGTGTCTGAGAAGTGTCTGATTGTTAACGTCATCCACAATAGTGGACAACCACTTGAATGTGGACATCGAGGCGCGACTTATTTTAGTCCAAACCGATTGCTTTAATCGATATATGGCTTCATTCGTGAGGCCCGCGATTATAGCCTTTAATATAGCGTTCAATACAAATAACAAATAGAAAAAAGAGTTTTAAAATGATTTGCCATTAATTGGTGTCAAAAGACATTTGTTCGTACTTTTAATGAATTAAAATTTCGTATTTTTCGTAATTGAAGCGCGACTTCAATCCAATGAGAGGTTACGATATATGGACTAAAATGATGGGAAGATTTTGTGTTATATTTATTTGTCTCTGATTTGTAGTGAGAAAACTACTCCTAAAATGTCAATACCTGTGCGCTTTCAATATGGTTATAATGACATGTCGTGACAATAGATTGAAATTTTTGATCATATTTTGGATCTTAGACTTAGATTTCGATGTAATGAGCAATGAATGGGGTTTTAGTTGTAGGAAATTCTCCTGAAAAAATACACATTAATATATAGATTAGTAAATTGTTGTGTGCTTTAGAGTCTAAGCAATTAAATTGTTTTTCAATAATTAAAAATTCATTACTAAATCAATTGCAGTTATTTGTTGCGCTATAAACCTGGGATCCAATTCCAGTACTGAAGACGACTTGTTGTACGATTTCTGTTCAAATAGAGTTCAACAATATTTGAAAACTTTTAGTTTATTTATTTAATACACGAATGCATTTGTTTGAAAACAATTGATTGATTGATAAATAAAACTTTAATTAGAAATGTAAACTTATTATGCAATTTTGCATTCACTGTCATCTCATTTGACATAAAAATTTTCCTAAACTATTGTACATATTCTGTCATTCATTATCGCATTTGTATTATTTAATAATACATCAAAAAGATTAACACAAAAATTGCATAACAAATGAAAACATGAATAAACGCTAACTTTTCTTTATTTTATTTCATTTGCCTTTCAGTTTCTAATTAACCGATAATTAATTGCATTAATAAATGAAAACATTTTAAATTGTGAGACAAAAAACCAGTGCTAGAAATGTAGCGTTAATTTATGAAAATTTATTCCCATTTTCTCACTAATTATTTGCGAAAATATGTTTAAAATGTTTTCACGATTTCATCGTTTAGTTAAGGCATCGAAGAAATGGAAAATTTTTGGTCTAAATTCCTAACAATTACTTTATATTGTAATTACAATTCTTGTAACTTTTTAGTCAGATTTCTATTAACTTTTACATGAATTTCTAAAATAATATAAAATACTTTTTTGTGTTAACATTATATTCAAATTCAAATAAATATGAAACAGTAGATAAACTCAATTCTAAACTAAAATACAATTGAAAAACTCATTGAATATTAATCTGAATTGAAAGTCTAAACTCGTTATTAACAACAAAGTCTTTATAAACAATTCTATTAATATTTCTAAAGCTTAACAAAAAAATAATAAATTGAAAACTATTGAAGATATCGTGACTTATTTTCTGTTGTTTTAGAGTTACATAATTGGCTTAAAGGGCTTTAAATGCAAAATTGATTCAAATGATGAATTTAAACAAATTGTTGCTAATAAATATGAGCACAACATTATTTGGTTCACCCATTGAATGCTATGTTTAGTTTAGTTGTAATAGTTTTTTACAACAAATAAATCGATTTAAAAATGTACTGTAAATACAGTGACAATGAAGAATACAGTTACTGATAACACAATAGCTAACAGTTATTGTAATACTTTTATTCACAATGAATTTGTCACAAATTGATTGAAAATCGATTGTTTTACTAAACTTTAAAATGGATTTAATTAATTTGCAATCTCTAATATAAAAATCAAATTATAATGTTATGTAAACTAATGTGAGATTATATTTCACAACTCTAACACACTTTAGATAATATTATATTTGATTTAAAGTTTTATTTATCTGTTGATTATAGTATTGGTATCAGTGGGTCATCGAGTATATAATGTATGCGAACGACAAACACATCCAATAAATAAATACCTGATTCGTGGATATGATATCCGGCGTCGACTCCGACTTCATGTCCACTATATTGAGACACTTTCGGTAAATCTTCTCATCGATGTTCGGTATACTTAACAGTTTGTCCACAATTGTCATCGGTTTGTGGCCACTGTCTGATGAATGGGTGGAACAGTTGGACTCATATGTGGAACTACTGTGGGAATCGTAACTATTACTAATCAACGAGGCGTCGGCCGCTGGCTCACAGTCCTCTATCACCGCATTATCTTTACTCAAAGCACTGGAATCACTGATGAACTCAGTCTTAAAGTCTTCGGAATAGTTGTCTAACCAATAGTGAAGAATGAAATTGAGTTGCTTTTGGCAGCAGTGGTGCATATGTTTTAAGATAATGGCCAACAGGTGTTGTGGCGGATGGAACTGTCTGTACGTGCAGAACATGACATGCATGGCGTGCGCCACGTTATTCCTCTCCTCCTCCAACAGATTCTGGTTCGACATCTCGCGGTCTGAGCCCTGGTTTGGCGTCAGAAACAGAATGTATTTCACGATATGCTCTAAAGTGGCCGCTCTTATGATCCGCGTCTGACGGGTCTCCCACTGAAGACACTGTTCACCAATCAAATAGTCATTCATTTAGTCTTTCATTTGGTTATGAAATTGTGATCATATATTGTGATATAAATGTATTTTTATAAGTTTTGTTAAATCGTTAGAAAAGTTGTATAAAATTTATTAATTAAAACCCAATTTAAAAAATAATATTAAAAACATTTAAATAAATTGTCAAATGATTACTGAATTTGTGTGACAAACCTGTTGGTCGTCAAACCAAGTGGTCGTCCGTTTGGGTGTCTTCTTGTTGGCCGAAGAGTCCGTTTGGTCACAACGTGTCACACATTCCTCGTCAGTCTTATCACTCAATTTTAATCCGTAGATATCCTCGCAAACCACGGAATAAGTAATTTTCTTCAAATATATTGAATAAATGGAGTCTTCGTTGTGCTCTTCGCCCCAAAATTTCCTCAACTTTTTATCGCTATTCAAAGCACTCGCGGTCTTACCGCTGGAACCGTTACTCTTGTCGTCACTTTTATTACCACTTTTAGGCGTCTTCTTGCGCGAAGAGCCCATTGTGGCCAACGATAGGGTCGGAGTGGCCATCATATGGACGAACACCTCAAACGATTGCATGCATACTATAATGAGGGGAACGGAGTGTCAATGAATCGATGGCTTGGCTTATAATGAATTGGCGTAAACCGAGTCACCATTGATTGCATTGAATGACAACTAAAAGTAACACAAATTAAGGCTTAAGTCTTAAACACGTTTATCTGAACCGAGATTCCAGTTGTGGTGTTGTGTTGACAACACATACACACTTCATGCCCAATATATTCAGGTCTTGTGTACACTCTGAACAGAGTTTAGACAACTTTTTATGGGTTAACACACATTCACTGCACTCCTCAGCCAAAGACGTATGAAAAACACTGCTCTCAATAAGTTTTGACGAAATATTTTCAATTATAAAAAAAGTTTGTTTTTGTGTTTTGCTTCACAAATGCTTTTTCTGTGCCCTTCGCGAGTGGAGACTGAGTAATGAAATCCCGATTTGAATCTCCAACTCAAACACAATGATATGATTTAGTGATTGCTTTTATGAGCGAAATATAGCGTAATATACAGACAATTGCTATACAATTGTGTGTAATGTCTGCCAGTTATGAGTCATGACTCCACAGCCCAACCAAACACAGGGACAGGGATTGTCATTACCTGTGTATTTACGCACAGGTAGTAGAGTAACAGTAGTGAGTGCTTTAAACCTCGCATTTAATAATACCTACCTGTGCAGCGCTCGCAGTGTTTATATTTTTTAAAAGCACAGGTAGTCTATAAGTATACCCTCTAAATGTGAAGTCATGAATGATATGCTATACCTACGGAAGTGATTGAGTGTCTGTATAGCACATCCCTCCACACATGATTCACTGCTATTATATGATACCTCTTCTTCAGTACATATCTTATCACTTCATTAATGCAAACCATAGTCTCATAGAGTTTATCAAAGTTTTCAGACTAATATTGTTTGGCAAAAAGTTTTACTCCAAATGTCTGTACTTTACACTCGTTCTACACTTTCATTCATACATCGAAAGCAATGCATGAATTGAAGCGAAATGAGAAAAAGTGAGGAATGAGTGGTTTGTATGCAATAAACCAAACCTTACCTCAAATGTGTCTTAATTACTGTTGACTCTAATCTCGAGGAAAAGTTTACTTCACTAATGCTATAAATTAATTGATAGCAAGTGTTACATAATGTTTGAGCAAAATTGTTTGCATTAATTATCTATAATTCTTGAGTATAGCCTCAAAAACGTATTGACAACAAAGAAATTGAAAGTAATTAACAAAATGTAATGGATTTAAATACAATTCATGCCTAACTCTCACAAGTCTAACTACTCCCGGTTAACAAATAATATTTGTATTTCTATAAGTTCTCCACTTTTCTCACTTTCAATTCATTTGTTGAGAACATGAATGCCATACATATTAAAATTGGTTTGACACTGTACACTAAGCAAAAGTTAAATTTAATATGAATTCAAATTTTAATACATTAATAAACACAGAATTAACAGAACTTAAAAGTATTGGCGATAAGAAAAATAAAGCTTAATATGAATAAAATCAAGAAAAAGTCACGATAATCATAATTATAAACAAATTGAATGATAGGTTAAATATTTATAAGTCATTAATAAGTTGGTGAGAATAAAATCAAAATACCGTTGAGTGACATAAAATGGACATATAATTGAAACAATTGGTGACTAATATCGCAATATATTGTGTTTATGTTTGACGATATGGTTGTCCAGCATTGACCAGAACTTCAAGAGGTTGGCCCGATCCAAGTGCCTCTTATTGCGGGACAACTCGATCACTTCGACCGACCATTTGCCCACATTTGTGTCCAGTTTCAGTTCATCGAACTTCAGGTGAAATGCCTTGACTTTTGCCACCAAATAACACAAAACAAAGTGTTAAAACACAAAACAATTCATTAAGTGATTCATACTTCTTGCGAATATCTCAACGGGGTTACCATCCCAGGGCCAGCCCTTGAACTGCCAGGCGGGCCCCTGGACAAACACAGCCACCACTCGGTTCCTATAAAAATGCGCAAAAGTCGTGTTAATTATAGCACACAAGCCTTCAGACCTCGCAATTGAGGGCCGAAATCACTGCACAGACCAGTCTTCGGCATCCAGTTTGAGCGGGTTATCGATGACCCGGTAGGGGACGGTTGTGTTGTCGGCTTTGCGACGCTGTATGAGAATCTCATTCTCGCGCCGCTGTTCGCCGCTCTTGTGGTCCACGTATTTGAGGTCTTGAAGGATGGCCTTCGCGTTGTACATAGAGATGAGTGATGTGGTGGTCGACGGGATTATAATGATCGGCGTTTTCGACGTCCGCTTCTGCGGCTTAGAGCTACTGGTGCTGTGCGACGAATGGGTTTGCGAGTAGTTCTGAGCGCCGGTGGCCGGTGTGGCCGTCTTGGGCTGCGCCGAGCCGTCGGTCACACTCTTAAGGGTGAGGCCGTGATAGGTGCCCGTCGTGTCGATCCGGAAGCCGATGGTGTCGTTCTTCGTGAACCTCTCCTGATCGTATCGATTGTACTGTTGCTGTGACGCCAACTGTTGCTGTTGTGATGCCGTCGACGGTGTGGCCGCCACTCGTTGGGCCGTCGGATTCAGTACTGGATAGCAATCGGCGGTTTAAAATGGCGCCACAATTATGGCAATCAATTCATACCATTATTGGCGGCGTTTGGCTGCGGGTTAGGCTTCCGGTGCCCCTCTTCTCTGGACTTCAGTGAATGCAAAGTCGGAAATATAGACTTTTGGAAGTTCTGCCGGCGTTTCAAATAAATGTCAAATCATGTCATTATCACTGAATCGTATGGCAAATGAATACCTTTCCGGTCGACTGCAATATATTAGTCCTATTCCTCCAAATCCTCTCTTTGTTTTGTATCTCTCGCGTGAAGTTCGAGTCGTATTGCAGGAGAACTGAGTGGACATTGGGTGCACTCATCGTACCGCTGAATCACATCATAAATACAGCAAACAATTAGCGCTAAATTCAATCAAAACAATCGCTTTAACAGATGACTACCTGAGCGCCTGAGTGCCCTCCAGGTCAGTGTCGGCGTCAATGATAGTACTCCTCTTTTTGGCCAATCGTTTTGCCTGTAATTCGCGAATCAAACCAATAGTTCTTATAATTCTCGGCTGACGAGTGAGACAATCACGAGATAAACCGTACCTTAAGAGCGGCGATCTGATCGTTACTCATGGCATCCCTCAGGGAAGTGGTGTTCGCTGAGTCGCTGGCCGAGAGGGATGCGGCCAATGGTGGCAACGGTTTCTTGATTTTGGGCGCATCGAGTCGGGCGGCGAACTGTTTCCTCACTTTCTCCATCTCATCCATTCGCGCCAACTTATTAGGTGTGGCCTCCGAGTCATTGCCGGACACCCCGAGGCCTAAGATGGTCGACGACCCCAACCCCTGAGCGCTCAACTCATTCTTCTGCTCAAAACAAAGACACCGTTTAGACAACAAATTCGTGGCAAATGTCTTACGAATGTGAGACCAGTTGCGAGGCAGAGATGGGCAGCTCGATGGGCGCACTCTTGTCGATGGACGCAGTGCTGGCCGTCTCTCCGCACAGGTATGACAACAGATCCTTTCGGTCCGGCCTCTGGACCACTGAAACACACATCACGTGTTAAACAATACATTTCGGGAGACAATCACATGTGTGGACACAAACCGGGTATCTCTTCACTGGCCGCCTGTTTGACATAAGCCGGATGTTGGAGCTGTAGGTTCTTCAGGAAGAATAAGAGACACTCCAGAGTGTAGTAGCCTTTGTTGGGCCCATCGCGCGATGAACTGATCCAATGATAGCAACAAATAATCAATGAATGAAGGGATCACTGAATGAATGGCATGACTGGACAGACCTGTAGATGAGATAATTGGTTTTGACGGTCTTCGGCCAACAGTACTCTCCAAAACAGATCAGATTATTCTTCTCCACGATCTCCTTCTTATTGACGTTGTATTGTCTCAACAGTGACAGCGGGTCTGCCATTGTTGCCCAACCACTTCACCACTTCCTCCTCGCAAGTGTGGGCACTGATGGCACTCGTGATCACTAGACAAGTGTCTGGATGTGCTGTGTGTCCACACAATCACTGTTTGTGTGATTAGTATTAAGACCGAAACAAACAGTAAAATGTGTTTCAAAGCAGTTGTCAATAAAAACATTGAATGCTTTCAACGCGTGCTGTGATCGCCATCTGTGGCCATAATGTGTAACAATTGAAAGCTTTTATTCAAAACACAATCACTTTGAATACAACACGTGTTGAACTCTGACTGAATCAACATTTTTTAAGCATTGATTGGTTTGATATTGAAATTGACTCATAGATTGTTAATCACTAACCAATAGAGCAATAATGGTTTGCATGAGTCGATTGCAAACACCATTCAGTAATGAGTGTATCACTGATCCAGACGTGTTCACAGCGTTATCGTTGAATCCTATTATAATAGTAAACACCTTCTCGAGTGACCGCTTACCCCAAGACATGGATCAAGTGCTCGGACTTATCCGTTGGATTGAGGGCTGCTATCGGAATCAGTGCGACACCATTGGTGATCAGATGTAAGTAGATTTCATGTCATGATAATAATGATGACTCGAAATCACATTTCACGCGAAAGCTCTTCATTTGATTGATAATTATTGTATAGTTTTGTTGTAATACTTATTGAAATCACTGAAAAATGTGGTGAAAGTGCCCATCGATGCAGCTATTGATCAGCTATTGATCT